CGAGCTGGGGGGCGCCGCGCTGTAGAGCTGGGCCAGGCGCGTCTGGGTCAGGAAGTGGCCCAGGCTGAGGCCACGCGAGATGAGCAGGCGCACGAACTCCGGCCGGTCATTCAGGAGGGCGTCCATGAGCGAGGCCTCCAGGTGGACGGACTGACAAGGGTGGGATGAAGGGGGGGGTGGAGATGAGCAGGGCAGGCAGGAGGCCAGATGTGGTCAGAGGTGAAGGGCCAGGGACGGGGGTACAGAAATGAGTGATGGATGGAGAGGGAACAGGATGCGGACACTGGATAATAAGCGGATGGAGAGGGGGGGGAGAGATGAGCAGGGGCAGGCAGGAGGCCAGATGTGGTCAGAGTTGAAGGGACAGGGATGGGGGTACAGAAATGAGTGACGGATGGAGAGGGAACAGGATGCGGACACTGGATAATAAGCGGATGGACAGGCCGCATGTCAAGTGCCTCCCCTTGTCGGGACCCCCAGCCCCGGTTCCGCCCCCTCACCCGCCACTGGATGTCACCCCGGAAGAGTTCGCTCTGGGCAATGTCCACGCGGTTCCAAGCCACAGCCAAACGCAGCTCGTCCAGGTAAGCGGAGGCCTCAGAGCTCCCGCAGGCTGCAGGGGAGAGAGGCGGAGGGAAAAGTCAGGGGGAGGGCGGGGACATCGGATGAGTGTCTGTTTTGCGTTTGGGGATGCCCGACATTTAAATTCCATATTAAGCCCAGCTGGTGTGGCTCAGTGGTTGAGCACCAACCCATGAACCAAGAGGTCACTGGTTCAATTCCCGGTCAGGGCACATGACCAGGTGTCCGGCTCCATCCCCAGGAGGGAGCATGCGGGAGGCAGCCAATTGATGTTTCTCTCACATTGAGGTTTCTATCTCGGTATCCCTCTCCCTTCCTCTCTCTCTCTCTTAAAAAAAAAAAAAATCAATAAAAAAATTTTTAAAATCCCATATAAGTGGTGCTGTTGGCAGATTCTGGGGCCTTCAGAAGTCAAGCAGAAGGTCATTCAACTCAGGGGCAGAGAGCAGCCAGTGTGTAGAGGCCCCAGGAAGAAGGAAGGGAATCATTCACGCCCTGAACATTATTGAGGTAGGTTATGGACCGGGCACTGGGAGGGATGGAGAAATTGGATCCAGTCCCTGCCCGGAAGGAGCTCATTCCAGGGCAATAGGTCCCAGAACCACACAACTACCCTCAGAGAAGGAGGCGGGCATGGCATGTGATTAGGGCCAGGGAGGCTACAGTCACCGGGGTCTGAGTGCGACAGGTGGGTCTGAGCGGGGCTTCGGGGAGGCGGTGGAGTTGAAGGTGTGCATCTAAGGCGGAAAGCGCCTTCGGCAGCAGGAGCAGCAGGAGCAAAGGCGGGTGCAGGAAAACGCAGGATCCGATTGCAAACCTAAGTCGCCCTCACTTCCTGAAACGTGGAGTATGTGTAAGAGGGAAGAGGGGGCAGGAGCAGAAAATGAGGTTAGGAAAAAATGCGAATATAGACGAAACAAGTGTGCAAGACGAGTGTGGATGGGAGAGTTGGAAGGGGCCGACCTCAGCGAACGTACCTCAATCAGAACGAGGACGTTTTATAATAGCAAAGGCCAGCTGACCCTGGGGGTCCTTAAGAAGAGCAAGGAAGCCGTAACTGGTTTGGCTCAGTGGGTAGGGCGTCGGCCTGCGGACTGAAGGGTCCCGGGTTCGATTCTGGTCAGGGGCATGTGCCTTGGTTGCGAGCACATGCCCAGCAGGGGGTGTGCGGGAGGCGGCTGATCAATGTTTCTCTCTCAGGGATGTTTCTAGCTCTCTATCCCTCTCCCTTCCTCTCTGTAAAAAATCAATAAAATATATTTTAAAAAAATAAATGCCATTTAACAAAGAAAAATCAACCCAAAAAATGAGTTCGCGTGTCGCCTCTGACACACGTGTCATAGGTTCGCCATCACTGGCCTAAGCCTTCTCTCTCCAGCCCCCTGACTGTCCCCGAGGCCCCAGCTCCATCCTGTCCCATCACCTCCGCTGCAGTCTTCCTTTCCTCAGTCTCTCCTCTCCTCTCTAGTCTGCCCCTCCTGACCCCCAGGGTCCTTCTGCACACAGGACTGACCCTGTCCCTCCCATGCCCCTCAGAACAAAGCCTCAGCTGAGGTCAGGGTGGTCTGGCCCTGCCCCCCTCAGTGGCCGTCTCAGGCCACGTGCTGCATGCCATCCACGTGCCCCCCCGGCCCCCCAACACAGCCCGTGCAGTGGGCTGGATGGAGAGTCAGACAGGCCCGAATTTAAGCCTGGCTCCTGTTACCTGGTGTGACCCTGGGCAAGTCGCTTCCCCCCTCTCTGTGTCTCAGTTTCCTCATCTGCAAAGTGGGGAGGAAATCCTTGCAGGCGGGGAGGGAGGGTCAGGGACAGAAATGCACGCCAGCTGCTCAGCACAGTGCCTGGCTCCCGCTAGACTCTTAAGGAGCCTTCGTCCCTTCCCCCTTCCCTCCTTCCTCACCTGCTGAAACCCCATCCACTCCACTCGGCCATCACCCAGCCCGCCTGCCCGCCAGCTCCAATTTCCCCGCAGAGTGTGACCCGATCGCTTCCACTTCTGCAGGGAACGGGCTTGCCGCCGCCGCCACCCCCAAACCACGTCTCGCTGCGCTGCCGTTTTCTCCCGAGGAGCTCGTACCTGAACTTCCATAAAGCGAAGCCGATCGGCCCACTGTCATCCTCTGTGTGAGGAGTTCCCGTGAGAAAGAGGGTCACACTGAGAGACCTCTCATTTACTGGTCCCCCCACCCCCACCCAGGCACCAGGCACTGCTCATAGCTGCCTCTCAGCTCACAACACCCTGCAAGGTATGATCTCCAATTTTTCAGAGAGAGAGAAACTAAAGTCTCTTTTTCAAGGCCACTACGCACACAGCTTTATCTGACTCCCAAATCAGAAGTAACTGTTCTTTCTGCCGCCACAGAACATGGTGGATACGATTGGGGGGGCGGGGGGGAGGGGGGGCTGGGCTGAGAACATCTTGTAAATTGATACTATGCCTCTTAGGAGTTTTCAGCTGGGGTATTTTCCCTGTGAAACTCGTCTAACACCAAAAATAACCTCCCGCCCACATCCCCACATCCCCACAGAGCCCTGGGAAATCCCCGTGACCACTTAGGAATCCCATCTCCTCATGTTACTAAGTCCAAATTCCCCTGGGTCTTCAAGGCCCAGTTTAAACACCATTCCTCTTAGAATTTCCTCCCCTTGCTGACGGCGGTTGCTCCCCCAAGCTTTTGTCTTAAATTTTATTTAAGGTTGCATCCAAACAGCCCAGGTAGGATCAGGGGCTCTTGCGAGCAGGATACGGATCTGCTATAACCTCTGGAGCCTAGGATGGTGCTTGTTGAATGAATAAACTAGCCCTGTCCTCAGCTTCCACCCGGTGCCATTATGCTCCTGACCTTGGTTTTCACCATTCATTCCTCCTGTGAAACATCAGGAGTTCCTCACTGGGAGGCAGTGCTCTGGCTCATCTCTGACTCCCCACCCTGCAGCGCTTAAAACATAACATACTGGAGGCACGTAGAAGAGGAAGAAAGGGTGAGTGGGTGGATGGATGGATGGATGGATGGATGGATGGATGGATGGATGGGTGGAAGGATGGATGGATGGGAGGATGGATTAGTGGGTGGATAGATGGATGAATGAGTGGTTGGATGGATGGATGGATGGGTGGATGGATGATTGAGTGGATGAATGGATGGATGGATGGGCGGATGGATGGATGGATGATTGAGTGGGTGGATGGATGGATGGATGGATGGATGGATGGATG